ATAGCGTAAATATAAATTTGTAGGAAGGTTTGTCTGTTGACCAGCATTACCGGAATTTGTTACTAATACAGTACACCATGTTGGAAAGTAAAGCCAGATTTAGCTGTCACCTGATGATGCTCGTTGTAATTACTGCCGACACGTCGTACTCAGATTGTAAATGTTGTGTATTTACTCTCCAACACAGCAGTGCGCTGTGCTAGCAACGAATTTGCATGTTCTGTTTACGTGACAACCCTTATTAATTGGCTGTGTCGGGTGGTGGCTGGTTTAAAGCACATTTAAATTTACGCGATCTAACCCAAAAAAACCTCTGTATTATGGATAATGTTGGTCACGAAAGCCTACGCGTTAAACAGAGCTATTTAAGTTTGTCTTGAAAACTTACCTCTTTAATTTGGCCTTTATCCCACAGTTCTGGCCGTTTCACCCTGGTTATATTTATTTCATGCTTTCCGTGCACAGGGTACAATGGGATTTATGGATGAAATGTGCCTTACAAATGTAAATTATCATTATTATAAAAATAAATTAACTTTTACGCTAATGAGTGCAGCACAGACCCCCAATATTATTTTTGAGGAAATACATTCTATAAACATTCAACATAGTTGCGTAAAACTAATAGAAGTTTTAATGAATAAAGAGTAACATATGTATACTATGCGCAAATTACATTTGTAAATAATAAATGCATGCACGTGGACAAAACATAACACGAGGCACGGAGCCTCACAGCTGCCAGAGTCCTGGGGTACACACACGAGTTTTGTATTGCCATTTTGTACAAAAAAATATATATATATGTTTGACAAAGGTTGCAACGAATTTTCAGGTGAATTACTGCCGTAATTAATGAGCGTGTGTTCGTCACGTGGGCGACACGCTGCGTGGCTATGCGACTCTACTTTTGGGGACAATGTTTGCTTCACGGCAGTCGTCTTTAAGGCTCAGGGGGTTAAATTGGCCTCCACCAGCGCTGCTCAATCCGACTGTCGCAGCAGCTCCGTGTAACTTACAAATACAATCGACCGGGCCGTGTGCACTGGCATGCCATCGTTGCATTTCTCCTGTTGATGTCGGGAAAGGGCCCAGTGTTTACATGATTACCGCTAACACACAGCACACTTCAGAGCGTAGACCACATTTGCATGCAGCTGAAACAATTGCAATTTTAATGCGCCATTTCCTTTCCATGTCACAATTATGTAAAGTTCATGAAATACAAGAAAGAGCATCGCTTTTCGTTTTGACCTTCTATTGACGGAAGATTACAGTTGATTTGAAAAATATAACGTAGTATGAAATTAAAATGCTTCGGATCGGCTTACCGATTACACCATAATTCGATTCAAAGTCAAACTGTCTTCCTGCTCAAGCCAGTGACAGGTCAAGCAGCCTTCCCAATTGACGGTTCTGAGTCAGTGGTGGAAATTCCCCATTCCCATAGCAGGCAGTCAAGGACCATTTTGAAAGGTGAAAAAATGCATCATAAATTATCACGTAAAATATGCCCTTAGAATTAGGAGAACTTAATTAAATACAAACGCAACTCTGAATTTTAACATGGAATATGATAATCTAATTTTAAATTGACCAAAACCTTCTAAATCTTGTTTTTATTGGGGCGTATATTTTTTTAGAAGAGACTAATGTACAACGTGTGAGTGATTCAATTTGTTATATTTGGAAGTGGCCTATGATAAGCTTTGACAACACTCCAATGTTCTTGGAGTGTAATGCTAACAAGATTTTGCAAATCAAATTTTGAGAGAGAGAACAAAAAAAACTGCACCGTTTGGACTACATTTTCTGGAAAATAGTATTTTTGGTTAATTTAGCATGACAGCCTTTTTCCAACTAGGGATATTAATGTCTCTTCACAATTTCCAGAACTTTCCACTCAGATTTACTGGAAACAATTTCTGGTTAATTATATGCATTTGTCGTGTCATAATATTGCATTTAAGAAATTCTGCTTTACTGCAAACTTAAAGTAAGCTAATAAATGTTTAAGGGTGTTTGGAATGCCAGCAATTTATATTTTAAATGTTTGCGCAAGAAGTCTTATTAAAATGTGTCTTACTGAAACAACACCGACTTAAAAACCAGACTGTTAACTCCACAGGCAAGTGCGTGGTGTGCACAAGCACCCAATGCATGAAGCATTTATGCCATCAGTTTGAGGACATTAAAGATCCCACATTGCGAGAGTAGACCATTGTGTACTGGCGTCATGGCCAAATTAACCACCCTCAATAAGTAATAGATCCCCGACTACTTGAAAGACTGCTCCTGAAATAATGCGGGCCATTCAGGGCGTGCCAATGAAAATTTGCGTTACAGCCCACGTGATGAATTTGTTTTTCCATTGGAATCCGTGCAATTTTAAGTAAATTTTTACTGACCGAGCCTAATAACAAACTTGACTGTGGGGACCAAGCATAATGACCAAGGAGTCACCTTTGGTGCAGTGGAGAAAAGCGAGTGAGCTTCAGAAAAGATGACAGATTTAGTGGGGGCGTGTATCAACATCGGCAAGGCGCAAAATGTGTCCATCACCCGGCTTCCTGTCTCGTGGAGATCTGTGCCAACTTCTGTATCAAGCCAAGCAGTGTTCTTGTGCCAGAGTGTAAGACAGTAAACAAATGCATTGACGAACAACAAAAATCTATATTACGAATACGATTTTCAAAAAAGAATGAATTAAATATGCTCAAATCCCCCCGATCTAACTTGGGTCAAAGGGCTTTACACAGCCGTTTAGAATTGCAGCAAAAGTTGTATTTCATCAGTTTTGTGACGACCCCCTGCCACCCTGACGAATGATTAATGCCCCACACCCCATCTCAGAGCGCTGCTTCCCAGCTCACACGCGGGCAGTGTTTACGCTCAAAATATTGCAATAAGCGTCCTGTAGGAGGAGCTGTGAACTGCCTCCCCCCCGCGCCTCCAAACCTGCAGGGTGCACCCAAAACACTCGGCGGGAAAGGGGCTCCATTGGTGTTCGCTTACTCGAATGAACAAAGAAACCGGCTGACCTCAAAATTAATTCCGCTAATGCTGGTCAACATGCGCTGGTTGCATGCCAGGTATTTGCAAAGCACTTTGAGACCCGTCAAGATGTAGATAATTACAGGTAGAACGAGGTGACTTCAGCAAGTCTTGCATTGGCTTTTGATGGATTGTACATTTGCTGAATTTAATTTTAAAATGTGCCTATAATCGTTGTTGTGTGATTAAAGTTTCGTCGCGTGGTTAACATTTTTTAGAGAACCAATAAGTCAATTAGGTTTGTGAGCTCTAGCACGGTTGGCTAAGCACGGCTAAGTACTACAATGCATAAGAAGTTCAACATACATACATATATTGTTGACAATTCATATATATACGTATATGTCTAACTCACTTGGAAAAGGCGTGTGCTAAAATATTACTCTGGGGGAGCGGTGGCGTAGTGGTTAATGCACTACCCAATGAAACAGGCGATCTGAATTTTACATGGGGCCAGGGCTAACATCAGTGGCGAGCGACAGTTGCATTCCCTTGGCCCTGAAGCGTCCCGTCGATTACTAAATAGCGGCATCCGTTTAAAGGAATTTCACCGAAACTTTAAATGAATTAAATAAACATTTATTGCAGCTCACAAGCGGAATCGGGTCATTTCAAGAAGCAGAAAACCCCCCAACCTTGTCAAGCGAGCAAGGAAAAGTGAAGGTTGTCCCAGCATGAGAGAAGAAAAATATTGAGCACTATTGCCGAATACTTTCATGTGGAATCTCCATAGATTTTCAAATCAATTTCCTTTCTACCGCCTAAACTTATGCAGTGAAAGGTTACAAATTCCCCAATTGTCCACTAAGTCTCTTTTTTTTTGCTTGACATTTAACCCTTTGTTTTTCATTGGTTTTTTTGGGAGGGGGCTGGCAGTGGGGGAGGGGGGGTGAAAAAGGATTTGTTTTTAATTGTGTCCCTATGCATAGAATACAATCCAGGGACGTTGTATTCTACCATTGGGACACAGTTGTGTCTGGATAATCACTTTGATAGCTGTTAATACCTGGACTCCCAAGTGTCATTAAATGGCAATTCGCAAATTGGAAAGAAATGTTTAGCGGGTTTTCTTTTGTTTTTCACATTAGCCACATACAGCATAGATCCCCCTATTGCCATAGCGTGTTAGGGAAAGTGCTGGTGAGCGAACACCTTTTCAGGCTGACATGGCACACGAGGGAATTGTGGTGTGATTATCATCAAGCCCCCCCCCCCATCCCAGTGCTGATGTTATACACACTGCACCAGGTACTAATTTAAGGCTGAGTCGACCTAGGGGAGGCCCCAGCACGAGAGAATACAAATATCGAGCACCACTGATGTTAGCCATGAGCGGGAATGAAACTCCTATTGGTCAGGTTCGCAGTGCGGTGCGCCCACCACTGTGCCACCGCTCCCGACTCCCAAGTGCCATGAGAACACAATTAGGAAATTGGGAAGGAATGTTCGCGTGATAAAATGCACATTAGCTGCAATACGCATCCCTGAACACACACGCGCGCGCGCACACTCATAGGTGCACCGACTGCCGAGAGAAGAACACAATGTTCTAGGCGATGCGGCGCATGCTCGTGGCATTTAATTTTGATCGTGCTGCCACTGATGCCTTGTCCCTCCAGGAAACACCGATTTTACATGGATTTAAGTGCCGTGACAGTTGCAATTGCTTTGCTGCAATGCATCACATTGCACAAGCTCGCAGAGACCTATTATTTGCATGCAATTATTAAAGACGAATTTTATCTTTTCACTCAGATCTCATCTTTGCAGCAACAATAACATTATATTGATCGGATAAATTAGGGCGAAATCTAAAGGCTGGCGGCAATCCTTGCTAGTTGTGCACGCAGAGATGAAATCCGATGCATGAATGCATGCATGCACATCGATGTGTGCACGCTGACCACTTAGTATTCCTGATGAATGCAAAAAAAAGCATCGCTTACCTCTTTAGCTGACTATCACGGCGATCCACTGAACCAAGGCTCTGCAAAACAAGAGAGAGGGAGAAATACTTTACATTCACAAATTGCATGCTCCCTCGTTCGCAAATGGTTTCAACGATTGCAATCCCTCTGCACATCACCTGTTGTTCTCGCAAATGCAATTCTCGCGCGCCTGGCGTTTGTATAAAAATAAAGTTTGAAAGAGACACGAAGCTTCAAAAGGACCTTTTGCAAAAACCTTTGTTTTCAATGGACAAAAGATTTACACGCAGACAACGTCCGCAGAGACGCGTTATTTTTGCATAACGGATATGGCTCTGCAGCCTCACAGCAATGACCCGTTCGACAGCCGTCGCCCGACCGATGTCCTTTTATGGACACACCGAGCTTCAATATCCGCTATTATTTCTCACACGAGAGCAGGGAGAGTGCAGCGTTAACCCTTGGCGAGCCCCCGCTCAGCGATGAACCTGGCTGCTGAGGAGCGTGGACATTGGCGTGCGACGAGTGCCATCCTCTTTAACCCACGCCGTGCACCGCCAAGTTTAATGTGCATTCCTCAAAACGTGATCCACTTCATTGACTGCCAATGACATTAGACATTCGATGTAGAATAAAAATGCAAGCATATTATTGCGCGTCTGCATTTATAGCTGGGTGGCAGTGTGGTAAAGGGTCTCTACTCAACTCATCACACGTATGGGGCCATTAAAATGTTGTACTAATTTGTGGGAAGTCAACGGCGGTTCTCGTAGATGAAAAACTGACCCTCGTCATAGAACTGTGGAATTTCCACCACAACGTTTTAAAATTGAAATGAGCACTGAGCGGCACTGAGGTGACCGTGAAGGTATTTGGAAGTGCGATGATCGCCGCTGGATTGAGACTGGCGATGGAATGATGATGAAGGAGAAAACGCGTCCAGACGTTGGACAACCACGGAGATGGAGCGACGAAGTCAGCTCGTGGTGCAGCAGTGACATGGATTCTAGCAGCACTGGGCCGTGAACAACGGCGACTGCATGGGGGAAGCGTTCACCCAGCAGTGGATAGACGATGGCTAACGAAACGAAAAAAAAAATCAGCTAAGCTTTATTTCGAATTAAACCCATTACGTTTCAGGGGGGTCTGATCGTTCCCGACGGAGCTATTTTTGGGGCCAATGAGCGATATGGGATCTGATGTGGCCAATCGGCGGACGGTGAGCCATGTGTGGTCTACGCCGCGGGTCCTGCCACGGCCACAGACAAGAGCTCGTGCCGCCGCCGCCGCCGGAAGCAGCAACAGCAGCAACAGCAGCAGCAGCGACGGCGGCGGTCCAACCACGTGCGAGAATTCATGACGAGTGCGACATCGCCTGTCGAGGCTCTCTGCACCTCGCCGTTAACTCCGGCAGCTGCTAAATTGGCCACGAGGACCCTTCAAGTAGCGCGGGGTTGAATCTAACGGGAGCCGCGGCTGCACCGCCAGCCCTGCTGACCGCTGACGGTGCCGGGTTGGTGGTGGCGCTGGCACGCACTTGTGTCGATCGGAGGACCAGTGGAAGGAGCCCACACGGTTTTGCGAAAACTCTCACAACCGAACGGGGCTCTGGGGGTGGCACGGCGAGTGGGACTGAATCTTCCTTAAAAAAAATTAATGTTTATCCCGAAGCGGAAGATCGGCGCTGGATACAGTGATGTTTGCGAATGCGATTTGTGACTCTGATCGTTATCTGTATATGATAGCTCAATGTTCGTGTGCCATTTTTGTTGAGGGACTACTACTGTGTGGTGTTATCTTGGTGTGGTCTGGGACTGCGTTCTTGTTGTTTTTGCTGCCTTGCCCAGGCTTGATGAATCAGACTTAAATCATCACATTTATTATGTATTTACATTCTGTGACCCGCTGACCTTTGTCTCTATCTGGCACTCCTCTCGTGTACTTTTGCGTTGTTTGACGTTGTAACTTGCCGACCCGCCCAGACTGAACATCTGTGAAAAAGAGCTTCAAAGCTCATCGGATTGCTTCGGCCTAAATCAAGATTCTGATTCTGCATCTACCTGTGTAGAGCCCTGAGGTGGTATCTGCTCGTATGCATGGTCTTCCTCACAGCACTCTGCTCTCCTCCAACATGCCACACTCGTCAATGAAATTGGCCAAACATCCAAATTCGGGACCCTGATCTCGTCAGATCTTGGAAGCTAAGCAGGGTGGACTCTGGTGAGTACTTGAGTGGCTATAAAGAGCCGGGCGGTGGTGGCTATGCACATGGCCTGTAGTTCAGCACTGTGGAGGTAGCGAGGGTTGGCTAATTACCGCAAAAAATACATGGCAAAGCTCCCTTACCTGTGTGCATCGAGGAGGTGCCAAACCCTGGCTCACCAGGAAAAGGCGGTAGAGCAAGTGGACTAATTGCCATCTATTTCCCTCTGTATGGGAGATACAGCATTGCCCCCTCGCATGCGTGGGGTTCCTCCGGGTGCTTCAATTTCCTCTGACACGTATACAAAATAAATGCTCATCTCCATATATATAAAAGGCAAAGTTGTGAATGTGTGTCTGTTCAAAATGTTTAGTGTACTTTCCCGACATGCAACAAACTGGAAATTTGGCATGTGGGTACTTTCCAGACTGTACACCACGTTGTTGGGAGAGGGGGAGCTCAATAATGCATCTATTTTTTGCACGGCAAGTGAGCTGGACGTCAAATCTGTCACGTGACCCGCGCACGTGGAAGCGTAATGCATTGTAGTGTTGTGGTTAGCGCGCCGCGCCACAAACCCGGCGACCCAAGTTCGATTCCCGCTCACGGCCACCACCGGTGACGATTATTTTAACCGGTCCTGGGCCTCCCCTAGGTCGACTCAGCCTCAAACGAGTAACTGCTGTGGTGTGTGAACATCGCCACTGGAGAGACAAAGGCGGCCGGGCGTGGTGGATCCAAGTCCCGGGCGAAGCCGGGTAGTACAGCTAGTTATCCATAAAAAAAAGCGTTTGGGTTAGATAGTGTGAATTTAAAAGCGTCTTTGACCCGACACAGTCAATGAGTCAAGTTTGTGACTTAAACAAAACATGCCAATTAGTTACCAGTTCAGCACACCGATGTGTTGGAGAGTAAACCCACAACATATACAATTCGAGTACTCATTAAAATATGTTTAATATAAACGCCCACTGCAGGACCCTCCTGAAACCGAGTTCTACAATTCAGTGCGGCTTACCACGATAATTAAAAGCAAGTAAAAATAAGTAAGAACGGTGATGATGATGATGGCAACTAGGATAGTGGATCAAATTCACAGACATTACATTTCTCTTTTTTTGTATCCGTGTATCACATTGCTAACACATTTACAATACAACACGCAGGAGTATTAAGCATTGTGATATCACTACCTTTCATTTATAAGATGCCAACCGTAAATGTGTACCGACCGTGATAATGCTCGCATTCAGAACGCTCAAAATTAATTGTAAATGCTTACGCGGGGTTCAGATTGTATTCTGTGCCGGAAAACAGCAGTGACTAAGCCAGGTCATGCGAGTCACCTCCTTAGATATGACGAAGCTGTCGCTAAATTTACCTGTGAGTCAACCCTCACTTCGGTATGGAGTTTGTGTTAGGATTCTTTAAAGTTGTTAGCGATGACACGCGGCTTTTTACGGTATGGACCTGCCAACCCCCCCCCCCCCTCTTTTCGTGAATTTGTGTTTAATGCTGACATAATGGGTTGATTAAGGAAAAATAAAGACTCCCAACGCCGTCATGCGTCAATGGCCCATCACGATCTGACCCTGGGCTTTATAAATTCCGTACAGACGTGAGTCATCCGCTGTGTTCTCATTGAAAACCCGGCGGGATTTTTTTTTGGGGTCCCACGTCTCTGCTTTCTGCTGCGTACGTCCCAGACATGCGCATCTCGAAGACGGCAGTGAGGCAAAAAAAGAGAGAGAGAGACAACGTGAGTGAGACACGTATTGCTATGGTCACGCAGCGCCGGGCCGGAAGCGCGCACGCGAGGCGAGATGTTCATTTCTTTACTTAATCGGTCTACAACTTATTTTGGTGATCTTTAAAAAAGCTTGGCTCCCTGCAAATCTTAACTGTTGAACGCCGCCGTAACCAGCACAACGTGGCTCAAGTTTAAAGGGCAGTGATTATGACAAAGCCGAGGTTCAAGTACAGAATTTGTGCTGTCATAATTCACCGACTCGCTCATTCAACATATATTTGAAACTCCGTCGTTATGAACATGATTCGTAACGACGAAATTGCGAAAATAACAGCGGGGAACTTTAATATATATAAAAACTGTACACTACTATATATTCTTATCAAACAAAGTGACTTATTAGGCAGTGTATTACAATGTGTTATTGTATGGAATGCCGCAGCGGTGTAATGGTGAGCACACTGTACTTAATCCAGAGGTCGCCACCTCGATTCGATCTCCTGGCGTGCCAGTTGACACAATGTTGCGAGTTTCTTAGATCTCCCCCCTCGCTCTGTCCACCCAACAGTCTTAAAATAACAGGCCACAGTTAGTCGATCGGCATGTTGCGCGTGGTGGGGTAAAGTGTGGGTAACGCCAATTTCTACAAAACATCTGGCTAGCGTGGAAGAGTAGGCCAAGGAACCGCTAGATGGTGGGCTTTCTAGAACCGCCTCTGGTGGAGGGCCTTCCGCCGGCAGTGGTGTGAGCAAGCCATTGCAGGGCTGCACCTTTACTGAACATACATCTCTCGAAATAAACTATATACTGGCAACACTGGCAGTGCTTTATATTTGTTTAAGAAGACAGCTTTCAAACGTGCACGGTTATTTTTGGCATTTAACTCGCAACTGACATGCGAACGCAATTTTGAAGAGGCACCGCGCAATCGCACAAGCTGGCAACGCGACATGCTGACGTCTTTGGGGATTATTCAGCAGCCCATTGTCAAGCGCCCTTCGGCGGCATTTCGTTTTTCACATTGTTTTCAGGGACTTGATGGGCAACCGCGCCGCTGGGCGAGTGGCTAATTTTGGAAGACTCCCATCGAGTCGTGTTTTGCAAGA